TCAGCTGCTAATTGAATTTTTTTCATAGATTCTTGTTCCCATTTATCGATTTCTTTCAATAATAAATCATTATCTATTGATAATTCAATATCTTGTTGAATTAAATCATGTTCTTGCATTATAGTTTCTAATTCAATATTAAGTTGTTGTCGATGTTCAATGCCATGTTTACTACAGAAAGCTTGTTGACATCCGTCACAAGTCAATATAACCGCCAATTTTGTTACACAACATACATTGTTTTTTACCAAATGAAGTTGAACTCATAACTATTTAGTTGAAATATCTAGAAAATGCGTGACCCGACAGTTGAGCTCCCGACAGATGAGCCCCGACAGTTGAGCCCCGACAAATGAGCCCTCGACAGTTGAGCCTACCGACAGTTGAGCCTACCGACAGTTGAGCTCCCGACAAATGAGCTCCCGACACTTGAGCCTCATATTAAAAAAAATTTAATAAAGCCTGATGAATAATACATCGTGGTGGATCATGCGATATTGTTGCACCAGAACTGATATTTGATTTGAATTCCACTGATATTGTTTCTTCAGGATTTGGTGCATGAAGATGATCCGTAACTTTAATATAACCTGTTCCATCAAAACGTACACGACCAGCACAGTCATTTCGACAACAACGCCAAATAATTTGAGATTTATTTGCACGACGATAACGATAACCACTAAGTAAAAGTTGATCCTTGTTTTTTGAAGATTTCACGATTGGCATTGTTAATGATAATAGAAAAATATACCAAGAATGATAAAACCTTTATGAGTCACAGAAATATTGTTCGAAAAACTTGTTCATTTCTGTACAGATGATTGACTTAGCCACGAAAAATATATCGACGAGCCATCAGTACCATCGAAAGATGTCTCATGTTTCCGTGCACTATTTTCAAGTGAATTAAGCGATTCAATAATAATTTCGTGTGTTCTATATTTAATCAATGAAATTTCAATTTTGTGAGGCTCAAATGTCGGGAGCTCATTTGTCGGGAGCTCAACTGTCGGTAGGCTCAACTGTCGAGGGCTCATTTGTCGGGGCTCAACTGTCGGGGCTCATCTGTCGGGGGCTCAACTGTCGGTGCACCCTAGAAAATGATGTAAAGGACGGGGGTGGATATTCTAGCAAAATAGGCCCTATTTGAAAATTTTCAGAGGGTGTGGGGTGTGTGTGTGGGTGTGGGTGTGGGTATATCTGTGGGTGTGGGTGTGTGGGTGTGGATGTGGATGTGTGGGTATGGGTGTGGGTGGGGTGTGGGTGGGGTGTGGGTGTGAATGTGGGCTCATGTCTTCTTGTAACCCACACCCACACCCACACCTACACCCACACCCACACCCGCACCCACACTCACACTCACACCTCACACCCACACCCACACCCACACCCACCCACACCCATACCCACACCTCACACCCACACCCACACCCATACCCACCCGCACCCTAAGTGATAGTTGATGAATTTTACGTAGTAATTCATTTTGAATGTTCAAACATTCTGTTTTAGTTGACAGTACAAAGTTTGAAAAAGATAATTAATTTGTTTATGCATGCTTGTGATATATATCTTTATAGAAATTATCTGCTTTGTCATCTATTTCCTATATTTTTCCTTTTTTTTTTCAATTCTATTAAAGTTTTGCAGCTTCTCTAATTGATGATAGAGTTATTTATTGAATGCTGGCTGTAGTAAACCTCTGATTAAATCACAAGAGACTCATATTAAGGTTGATCAAATGGTAGACATTTTGAATTTTTTAACTTTTCGAAGATTGCATCTATTTGACAGAAATAATGCGGAAATATAACAAGGAGCAATCATTACTGACTGAATTCAGTTTTTTTTTCTGAACTACAAAATAATAGAGCACAATGAAAATAAATATGTTAGAAAGAATATCAAATTATTTCCCAAGTGACATTTGACAGTAGGTAAGATAATAAGTCAATTTGATTGCATATCAGTCTATATATTAAGTTCAAATTATTTCTTAACGTTTTAAAGGATGTGAGTGTCCATAGTCTCCCCTTTTTGATACTTACACTCACACTCACACCCAATTCGACAAGTATTTTCATAGTTTCTCGGAAACTATCAGTTGAACTAATTCACGTAATACCTCAGTAACTATTGGCAACGCAATTCTTGAGTGATTAAAATGTGAGATATCATGACGTAGCTGTTACCATGATGAATGAGAATCCAATCCCGTTTATTACAGTCTACCATGGAATCGAAAAAGAATCATGCTGAGATGTCTGACAAACTTTGTCTGGAGGAACAATGTTATCTCTATTCTAACTAGGAACTTCAAAACTCCTTTACAATCGTGTTTCACAAAAGATAAAAATAAACATTTTTAATAGTATGACGAAGCTTGATGAGCTCATGAATCGTCTCTTAAGCATCTATGGTAATTTATTCAGTAGAGGCAAAAATTGAGGAGAAAATCGACTTTTACAAGAGTTTGGTTTCTAATGTATCGACAGTTACCTTCAATCTGATTTGTGGTCTGTTTCGGCTCGTCTTTTTTTAGATCAGATTGGGAATTGTTTATTAAAAAATGTTGAATTATATTGAATTCGAAGTTTTCGTTAAAGTTCGTTGTCTTTTTCTCTATGATAAGATATTTTCCGCTGCACGTGTTCATGTTTGATATTATCTTTTAGAAAGGAAATTCATAGTAGTGTCCCAAGCCTTTTCAACCACACTCTATGGAACACCACAAAGTAATCATTGACCGTCAGGTATCAGAACACGCTTGAGTCTTATAAACGGAAAATCGAGGGACTCTGAGGAGAAAAAGGTCAAATCCACATATCACTGTACGTCAGACTCGTTTGAAATGTCAACGTTAATCAGCTAGCTTTACTAATACTGTTTAGTCAGAACCATTCCTTTTATTCAGTGTTTACCATTATTATATTCTCTATCAAACATATGCATTTCTTTCATACATCAAACGGTATATAAAATAATGAAAACTAGAAATCTCTTTTGCAGTTTCATGATGAACAGTTATGGATAATATGCATGGGGTAATGGTGTCCTCTCTCAATATTCTCACATCTCCCGTGCTATAGTTTTGATCCATTTTATATCATCTTTGATTTGGCAGCTGAAATAAGTTTACAAGATCGAATAAAATACAGAAGGAAAACTAGAACAATATGTTCTTTTTTTCTCGAAATGCTAATGGGATGATGATGTATTAGCAAATGAATCTTCGTTGTCATGCTCGGAATAATATCATATTTTGTCCTACAAAGGAGAGATATGTGATAAAAACAGTATCACTACAAGGGAAGTAACCCGCTTACTCATCAGTTTTGAACGATTCGTTGATGCCTACTCGCAGAACGAAAACTTTTCGCTCTTTCTACATATATCATGTGAAACATATTATGATTTCTTTTTTCTCTATGTTATGTGTATACGCGCTAGCACTCTCGAGCAAATAGTGATAATTGAGAGAAATTTTTCAACAGAATGAAATATAAGAATCCACGCTTTATATATGAGGAACAAAACTAAGTTCGAAAAATGCTATTAACTCTCGCCAAAGTTCAACGTAAAGTTGCAAAGAAGACAAGCGAAAACGAAAAATCTAAATCTGCAATCGAGTTCTAAAAAATTCGAAGTTTAAGTTTTTCGTCCAGGAAATATTTTCTACAGTAATAAACATTCTTTTGTAAAGTTTCAAAAAACGATAGCAACAATCGAGGAATCCAAATCCTCAAATAGTTTTTGACTATTGATGGTCTTGATTTCTCTTTGATAAAACTCATTGTTTCTCTGGAATACTGTGCGTCTACTAAGAAATCAAAGAGATGTGTGTCACGAAAATTATTACAGACTGAAGTGGTTCGACTAAACTTGTGTTCCGTCAAGCTTGATAAAAAAAAGCTATTATTTTGTTAAAATAGGTTTTTTTGGATAAAAAAATTAACGTGAAAGCATATGATATTTGCCCCAACGCATCACTTCTTCACTTGATTCCAACTAAATAAAGTATTAGGAGGTGGGAACATGTTAAACTTGATATTTAATTGTAAGCTTTATATCAACATTCAATACAAATAGTGCTTGTTACCACAATTCACTTGATCGTTGACTGAATTTAACTTAATCTTCGGTTCTTACCACCTAATAAATTCTTTTTTGAAAACTACTCCGCGACAGCTAATTTTTAAAGAGACCGTATCTTTCAATTTTCTGTTGACATTTACTAAAATAAACTTTGACGACAAGCACGTATCTATTCTGTGCCAATTTCGACTTCTTAACTTTCTGTATGACTGAAATTTAATTTTAAGTATTTCATTTTTCTCATGCGACACACTTTTAGTAGTTCGAAGAAATCAATCAAAATACATTTCATATCCTCATATTCACTGTTAAATGTATATCATTAATAGAATAAGAAGACGACGAAGTTTAACACAATAGGATTGGCGTTTTAGTTTGTATAATAGAAATATAACTGACAAATATGTGATACTAGCGCTCACAAGGTCTATTCTGGAAGTTTTTTTAACGGCTCACTCATGAAAGTCGGATATTTGTTGTGAAAGATCTTGTTCTTTCCATATTTGAAACATCATGAAATTCTTGTTCTTTAATTTCGATGAAAACAATACAGAGTATAGTTTTCTTTTATTGTGAGTGTAATAAGACATACGATGAACAAGAACTTTTATTGTCTAAAAGCAAATATAATAGCAGCTATGATAAAAAATCCGATACTCCATGAACTAGCATTGACAAAACCAAACCATACTTTAAAATGTGTCAATGACCAACCTAAATATTGGATCAAGTTATATTTTTATTAAAATAAGAAAAAGAACTAAATACTTCTGGCAGTAATACATCGCATTGCTTCAACAGTATGTGTTAATGGAGTAAAACTACTTATAGAACGCATTATTGATGGCATGCCTTCGAGTGGCCAAATTACACCTTTAATTTTCAATTACTTATCAGTAAAGAAACCTAAACAAATATATTCAAAAAAGAAATTAACCTGAACAAATTAACACGGGAAAAACGCTTCCGAGTGCCACTTGCATTGCTTCCATTTCTTCATCACACAGGGAGGATATTAGAA